CAAAACCCCTCAAACAATGAAAGGCCAAAAAAGTTAAAAGCAAAAAAATGAAAAGCACAAACCCCCCCAAACAATGAAAAGCCAAACAATGAAAATCACAAACCCCCCAAACAATGAAAAGCCAAACAATGAAAAGCACAAACCCCCCCAAACAATGAAAAGCCAAACAATGAAAAGCACAAACCCCCCAAACAATGAAAGGCCAAAAAAAATGAAAAGCCAAAAAATGAAAAAGCACCCCCACCCCTCCGCCCCGAGGTCTTCAATATCCGGCTTGTCCGGCTCCCGGCGGAGGTTATCGCCGGGATAATTGGATATTAGGAAACGTAACTCGCCCGTCCGGAAACCTTCCTACGCAGCAATATTATCTCAAACTTTCCTGAGCCGACTTTAATGTGAAGTTTTATCTCCGCTAGTTAGACAGCCCATTATACAAGGTCATGAATTGATGAGCGCGGCGAGATTGAATCTTCTCGTCGTTAAAGATCGCCCATACATCACGCTATATTGTGTGTGCATTATATGGGCGAGCATCCGTATAAAAGTTTACGGTCGGCCGGATAATGATGTGCGGTGATTAGGTAACCTGGTGGCGTCGTTAGCCGTTTCCCGGTTTGCCGTATTTCACTGTAATTGTGCTTTTGTCGCAGGCCGTGTTTGCTGACTCTTCTCCTCTCCGCGACGTAAAAATAGACTTTTCTAGAAGGATGCGGGGGAGGGGAATCGGCGCAAGCGAGCGCAGTATGGCCCACCTCACCGGTGGGGGGGGGGGAATGCGTTTTGTTTAAAAATGAAAAAAAAAGTTTCCAGCGAAGGAAGATGCAGGTACTTTGATGTGCGGTTGCAGGCGTACTTCTGCGGCGTCCGACAGCCTGTCATTGATTCGTGTAGGCCTCTAGCCGCGGCTGATGGCACCCTCAGACATCTGCAGACTCGGAAGACCGATTGATTGAAAGCCGGTAAGATTGTTTCATTGATTGATTGATTGATTAATATATTGGGATCTGGTAAGACCAATTGATTGGGAGGCGGTAAGACCAATTGATTAGGAGCTCATAAGACCAATTGATTGGGAGGGCGGTAAAACCAATTGATTAGGAGCTCATAAGACCAATTGATTGGGAGGCGGTAAGACCAATTGATTGGGAGGCGGTAAGACCAATTGATTAGGAGCTCATAAGACCAATTGATTGGGAGGCGGTAAGACCAATTGATTAGGAGCTGATAAGACCAATTGATTGGAAGCCGGTAAGATTGTGTGATTGATTAATATATTGGGATCTGGTAAGACCAATTGATTAGGAGCTTGTAGGACTGATTGATTGGGATCTGGTAGGACTGATTGGGAGCAGGTACAGTAAGACCAATTGATTGGGAGCCGGTAAAGACCATTTGATTGGAAGCTGGTAAGATTGTTTTGTTTGATTGATATATTGGGAGCTGGTAAGACCAATTGATTGGGAGGCGGTAAGGCCAATTGATTGGGAGCTGGTAAGACCAATTGATTGGGAGCTTGTAAGATTGATTGATTGATGGGAGCCAGTAAGACCTATTGATTGGGAGGTGGTAAGACCATTTGATTGGGAACCAGTAACAACAATTGATTGGGAGCCAGTAACACCAATTGAATGGGAGCTGGTAAGACCAATTGATTAGGAGCTGGTAAGACCAACTGATTGGGAGCTTGTAAGATTGATTGATTGGGAGCCAGTAAGACCAATTGATTTGGAATTAGTAAGACCATTTGATTGGAAGCCGGTAAGATTGTTTGATTGATTGATTGATTGATTGATTGATATATTGGGAGCTGGTAAGACCAATTGATTGGGAGGTGGTAAGACCAATTGATTAGGAGCTGGTAAGACCAATTGATTGGGAGCTTGTAGGACCGATTGATTGGGAGCTTGTAAGATTGATTGATTGATTGGGAGGTGGTAAGACCAATTGATTGGGAGGTGGTAAGACCATTTGATTAGGAACCAGTAAGAACAATTGATTGGGAGCTGGTAAGACTGATTGATTGGGAGTCTATAAGACAAATTGATTGGCAGCAGGTACAGTAAGACCAATTGATTGGGAGCCGATAGAAACAATTCATTGGGAGCTAGTTAGACCAATTGATTGGGAGCTGGTAAGACTGATTGATTAGAAACTGGTAAGACAAATTGATTGGGAGCTGGTAGGACTGATTGGGAGCAGGTACAATAAGACCAATTGATTGGGAGCCGGTAAGACCAATTGATTGGGAGCCGGTAAGACCAATTGATTGGGAGCTAGTAAGACCAATTTATTGGGAACGTGTAAGACTAATTGATTTGGAACTTGTAGGACCAATTGATTGGGAGCCAGTAAGACAAATTGATCGGGATCTGGTAGGACTGTTTGATTAGGAGCTGGTAAGAACAATTGATTAGGAGCTGGTAAACCACTTAGTTTTGAGTTCGTAAGAACAATTGATTAGGAGCTGGTAAGACCAATTGATTGGGAGCTGGTAAGATTGATTGATTGGGAGCCGGTAAGAACAATTGATTGGGAGCCTGTAAGAGCTATTGATTGGGAGCCAGTAAGACTGATTGATTGGAAGCCATTAAGACAAATTGATTGGGAGCTTGTAGGACTGATTGTTTGGGATTCGGTAGGACCAATTGATTTTGATCCGGTAAGACCAATTGATTGGGAGCCAGTAAGACAAATTGATTGGGGACTGCTAAGAAAAATAGATCGATCGGGGCTTGATCAAGGTTAGTGTCAGGGTTAGTGTTAGGCCTCGCTCACACGGGGTGATTACATGTATGCCCCATGCAGGGCTGTGATTTACCGGCACAGGGATGCACAGGTGTTGCGTACCAGCAGTACTATTTATGTCAATTGGGACACGGTGGATGCATGGTCCCAGCTGCTGTGTCCCCAATGGGGTTGATTTACTAAGGCTGCGTTCACACATGAGTGTTTTCTAGCTTGAAGCTCCAAAAATTCTCAAATTTAAAAAATCAATTGTTCTCACACAATCAGGTGTGAACAGGCACCATAGAGAACAATTGCTTTTTTATGTTAATGGAGCGGACATTAACGGATGTAAAAAGATGTTCATCCGTTTACATCCGCAAGTCCATAGAAATACATGGAATGCCTGTGTGACCCTTACCCCCGCTTCACATATCCGCGTTTTCCTGCGATCCGTGTTTTGTGCAGGCAGGGGAGCCCATTCATTTGACCAGACTTCCGTGCCCCGGGACACGCATGGAAGAAGACCCTGCACTTCTGAAAACACAGCCCGCACGCTTTAAGTAGTCTTCGCTCTTAAAATGTTTTTTCTTTTAACCACTTCCCGTCCAGCCACTGTATATAAACGGCTGGACGGTGGCAGTCCAGGGGCGGGTTGCCGTTCATAAATGGCACCCGCCATATAGGACTGTGCGCGCTCCCTGGGAGCGCGCAGCAACATGATCCGGTGCCCGCTGTGTCCTCCGGACACAGTGGAACACCGATCGTCGTACGGGACCTGTGTGTGAGATCCTGATCATGTGATCGTTGATTGGCCAATCAGTGATCACATGCAGAGTAGTAAGCAAAATGCTTACTACATGTGAAACCTGTGAATGATCACAGAGGTCACATGGTACAGGGCTATTCACAACAGCCTTGTACCATGTGACAAGCTGTGACCAATCACAGCTCCCACGGTATTTCTTAATAGCTGCAAGAATGCAGCCAGAGAGAAGGAGAAATGATTACTTTTACAGACTTTATGGGTGTAAAAGCAATCAGTGTTAAAAAAAAAAAATAATCTTCATCACCCCCCAGAAGTAGTACAGTGTCACCATGGTGACATCTTACTGCTAGGGTGACAGTATGTAAAAAAAAAAAACATAAATAATAATATAAAAATTAAAATCAAATAGTAATTTTTTTTTTTTTTTAATTAGCATTTTTGGTTATAAACAAATGCGGGTTTTTTTTTTTTTTACTAAACTGAATAAATTTTGTCCAAGATTTATGATGAAATATTATTTATTTGCAAAATTTTATAAGAAAAAACACTTTTTTTTTTTCAAAATTTTTTTGGACATTTTCATTTACATAGCAAAAAAAATAAAAATCCCAGCGGTGAATAAATACCACCAAAATAAAGCTTTATCTGTCTCAAAAAAAATACTAAAAAATTAATATGGGTACAGTGTTGCATGACCGCGCAATTGTCATTCAAAGTGTGTAGCGCTGAAAGCTGAAAATTGTCCTGGACAGGAAGGGGGAGAAAGTGTCCGGACTGGAAGGGGGGGAAGTGTCCGGACTGGAAGGGGGTGAAAGTGCCCGGACTGGAAGGGGGGGAAAGTGTCCGGACTGGAAGGGGGGAAAGTGTCCGGACTGGAAGGGGGGAAAGTGTCCGGACTGGAAGGGGGTGGAAGTGTCTGGACTGGAAGGGGGGGAAAGTGTCTGGACTGGAAGGGGGGGAAAGTGTCTGGACTGGAAGGGGGGGGAAAGTGTCCGGACTGGAAGGGGGGGAAAGTGTCCGGACTGGAAGGGGGGAAAGTGTCCGGACTGGAAAGGGGGGGAAAGTGTCCGGACTGGAAGGGGGGGAAGTGTCCGGACTGGAAGGGGGTGAAAGTGTCTGGACTGGAAGGGGGGGAAGTGTCCGGACTGGAAGGGGGTGAAAGTGTCCGGACTGGAAGGGGGTGAAAGTGTCTGGACTGGAAGGGGGTGTGAAAGTGTCCGTACTGGAAGGGGGAGAAAGTGTCCGGACTGGAAGGGGGGAAAGTGTCCGGACTGGAAGGGGGTGAAAGTGTCCGGACTGGAAGGGGGGTGAAAGTGCCCGGACTGGAAGGGGGGGAAAGTGCCCGGACTGGAAGGGGGGGAAAGTGCCCGGACTGGAAGGGGGGGAAAGTGTCCGGACTGGAAGGGGGTGGAAGTGTCCGGACTGGAAGGGGTGGAAGTGTCCGGACTGGAAGGGGGTGGAAGTGTCCGGACTGGAAGGGGGGGAAAGTGTCCGGACTGGAAGGGGGAGAAAGTGTCCGGACTGGAAGGGGGGAAAGTGTCCGGACTGGAAGGGGGTGAAAGTGTCCGGACTGGAAGGGGGTGAAAGTGTCCGGACTGGAAGGGGGTGGAAGTGTCCGGACTGGAAGGGGGGGAAAGTGTCCCGGACTGGAAGGGGGGAAAGTGTCCGGACTGGAAGGGGGGGAAAGTGTCCGGACTGGAAGGGGGTGGAAGTGTCCGGACTGGAAGGGGGGGAAAGTGTCCGGACATGGAAGGGGGGAAAGTGTCCGGACTGGAAGGGGGGGGGGAGTGTCCGGACTGGAAGGGGGGGGGGAAAGTGTCCGGACTGGAAGGGGGGTGAAAGTGTCTGGACTGGAAGGGGGTGAAAGTGTCCGGACTGGAAATGGTTAACATGTGTGCAAAAAAAAAAAAGCCAACGGGTTAATTCACTGCAAAGAAGTAAATGAGCCCCAGTGAGGCACATGGGAGGTGTCTGTCACCGGACGGTGTCTTGTAGGGGTGCAGGCTATAAATCTTCCTCATTTTATACGCATATTTCATTCCGTCTCGCCGCGTACCGCGGGGAATACAAGGCGGGGGCGGTGAATATAAAAAAGTGAAAAGTAATTTTTTTCCGTGGATCCTATCTGCCCACAGGGCGGTTTCAAGGTTAATCAGGAGTGAAGGAGGCTCAGGCAGTGTAAAGAGGAGGGGAAATTGCATCCTTGAGTTACAGTAGATAAGGACTTCCAATCATTCATCACACATCACAGCGACGTATGGAAAGGTAACGTTTATAAAGCGCAAAAAAAAAAATGATCTTGCCTAAAGTGGAACTCTGGGCGAAATAGAAACTGACGTATAAAGCAGGCCATACACGGTTTGAATTCCGAACGATTTTTTATCCAAAAATCGGAAACGTTGTTTTGCTCGGTAATCCGATGGCGCCATCATTGATTTCGAAAATCGGCCGACCGAGTCATAAAGTTCACCCCATATAACAGGCGAGACTTCTGTTCCTTCCAGGTCACGGCTCATGCGCATATTCTTTTCGGAAAAACGATCGTATGTCTCCTCCCCACCCCTCTTCCTCCCCACCCCTCTTCCACCCCACCCCTCTTCCCCCCCAACCGTCTTCCTCCCCACCCATCTTCCACCCCACCCCTCTTCCACCCCACCCGTCTTCCTCCCCACCCATCTTCCTCCCCCCCATCTTCCACCCCACCCCCCTCTTCCACCCCAACCGTCTTCCTCCCCACCCATCTTCCACCCCACCCCTCTTCCACCCCACCCCTCTTCCCCCCCCACCCGTCTTCCTCCCCACCCATCTTCCTCCCCACCCATCTTCTTCCCCACTTATCTTCCACCCCACCCCTCTTCCTCCCCACCCATCTTCCACCCCACCCCTTTTCCACCCCAACCGTCTTCCACCCCACCCCCTCTTCCACCCCACCCGTCTTCCTCCCCACCCGTCTTCCTCCCCACCCCTCTTCCACCCCACCCGTCTTCCTCCCAACCCGTCTTCCTCCCCACCCCTCTTCCACCCCACCCCTCTTCCTCCCCCACCCGTCTTCCACCCCACCCCTCTTCCACCCCACCCGTCTTCTTCCTCCCCACCCGTCTTCCTCCCCACCCCTCTTCCACCCCACCCATCTTCCTCCCCACCCCTCTTCCACCCCACCCCTCTTCCTCCCCACCCGTCTTCCACCCCAGTGGCGTCCCGAGGCAGGGGGTGCGGTCCACACCAGGTGACACCGACCCCACGGGGTTACACCAGACCAGCTCCACAAAAAGTTAAGTTGTAAAGCAAGCCAACGATCCCCGCAGGATGGATTCTGCCCCACCCATCTTCCTCCCCTGTCCCCCAACTTCCCCCGGACTGCGACGTAACTTTGTATCAAATCACAAGGCGAGAGGCTGAACCCGATGCCAGACATTTGTGAATACAGCCAACAAGTCTGCTGCAGGCAAGGGAAAGGAGTTCCTTAGTCTCCTTGTTCCAAGTGATCAGACTATACATTGCAACTTTGTATCAAGTTACAAGGCGAGAGGCTGAACGTGATGCCAGACATTTGCGAACACAGCCACCAAGTCTGCTGCAGGCTGGAGAAAGCATTTCCCCAGTCTCTTCTAGCTTGGGGATCCAACCGCAGTAGGGACTAATCTGTATCTGTGACCACAGCCAAGAACTAGACAGGCACCAGGATTTACATGACTGTGCTGTCATCCCAGTCCAGGAGGTAGGTGGTGAAGCTGGATGATGGCTGAACAAAGATGGCGCCATCCTGGAGGGAGAAGTAGATGAAGGCATTGTCAGTACTGTGATCTCCGGTGATACCTGACATATATATATCCGATGACAGGTCTCTAAATATAACCTCTGCTCTAAATGGGCATCGGCAATACTGGAACGAGACCACTGTGCCCCCCCTCCCGGAGAGAGAAAAAGTGAACAGTTCCCATCACCCACCATGCTGTTTGGTTGGAATTAGAGCAGCCAGGGAAGTGTGCGGGAGCCAAGGGCACCACATCTGCTGGAGGATTCACAGCCAGCATTGGTCACGCCGACACCGCTGCTCCCTGTCTGAGCTCATCAGCTGTGTAATTGCTGATAGGGCTCGGAGGGAGAGCTCACGAGCGGCGCTGAATATTGTTTTTGATGTTGCCACGGCAGGCACAGAGGACTTGTGCATATGAACAGACGAGACCAGAGATCCATCTGGCGTGGAAGGGACGACATTGTCCCCGAGTGCACCATTCCCATGTTTTAGTCATGTGAAACATCATTTTCCAGCTAAGATAATTGAAACCGCTTCTCATCCTGTGCAGCCGGCTCCAATCACGCTCTGTACGTGAGATACATTGTAAGGGATCAATCGTAGAGCCATGTGTTGATCGTTTAGATCAATCGATCGTCAACGGGCGATCAAATACCCGATGGAGTTAATCCAATTCGGGCCCTGAGGAAGGGGCGCTGTAAGATCGAAGCGCATTGGATCTGTGGTCTTGTTTATTCAGTCACTTAGAATAATGGTGCTCCGTCAGGTCGCTGAAACTCGATGCAGATATTTTTTTTAGGGTTTGGAATAGAGTTGAGAAGGCTTAGAAGCTCGGTCAGGTTTTTATTTCATCATTTCAATATTATGGCTTTCATGTTAAGTAGACCCGAGTACCCCCTTTAGTTTTCGATTCACTTGCACCCCTGATCATTGTGTTATGTTTTGGAGTTTTCTAAATATCTGAGATGAATGCTTGGTGAAAGAGCTTTTTGTTGATGTAGAATGACTTGAAACTGGCCTGAGATATAAAAAAAAAGCTCTGTAATGGGGCTTCTAAGATACTCTATGCCTTCAGGTATGTATTCTCCTCAGTGGCATCTCCATCAAACCTCTGTCTCCTTATCCCTTGCTCTGCTACTCTCCTGAACCCTACAATGTCCTATCCAGGAACCAGAGACATATCTTCTCTCCTGAACCCCACTGTGTCCCAGCCAAGAGCCAGAGACATATCTTTTCCTTCTCTCCTGAACCCCGCTCTGTCCCATCCAGGAGCCAGAGACATATCTTCCCCTCTCCTGAACCCCACTGTGTCCCATCCAAGAGCTAGAGACTTATCTTCTCCTCCTCTCCTGAACCCCAATGTGTCCCAGACAGGAACCAGAAACATATCTTCTCATCCTCTCCTGAACCCCACTGTGTCTCAGACAGGAACCAGAGACATATCTTCTCATCCTCTCCTGAACCCCACTGTGTCCCATCCAGGAGCCAGAGACATATTGTCTCCTCTTCTCTTGAACCCTGCTCTGTCCCATCCAGGAGCCAGAGACATATCTTCTCCTCCTCTCCTGAACCCCACTGTGTCCCAGACAGGAACCAGAGACATATCTTCTCTGAACCCCACTGTATCTCAGCCAGAAACTAGAGACATATTTAATCTCACCTGAACCCCACGGTGTCCCAGCCAGGAACCAGGGACATGTCTTCTCTCCTGAACCTTCACTGTGTCCCAGCCAAGAAACAGAGACATATCTTCACCCCCTCACCTGATCCCCACTGTGTCCCAGCCAGGAACCAGAGACATCTCTTCTCCTCTCCAGAACCCCACTGTGTCCCATCCAGGAGCCAGAGACATATCTTCTCTTCTGATCCCCACTGTGTCCCTGCCAAGGACCAGAGACATATCTTCTCTTCCTCTCCATAACCCCCACTCTGTCTAAGCCAGGAACTAGAGACATATTTTCTCCTTATTTCCTAAACCCCACTGTGTCCCCCCCTCTCCTGAACCCTCACTGTGTCTTATCATGGAACCATTGTTAAATAGATGGTTCACTATACCAGGTGAAGATCCCTATTTTACAATGATTGTATGGTGATGTCATCTACCAATTCACTACATCACCCTACAGGAACTGTGGGTGAGCCTGCAAGGAGTTTGACAGATACAATACAACTTATCCAGGAACCAGAGATATATATCCTTCTCCTTTCTTGAACTTCACCGTGCCTCAACCAGGAACCAGAGGCATCTCTTCTCCGCTCCTGAACCCCGCTTTGTCCAGCCAGGATCCAGAGACATCTTTTCTCCTTATTTCCTAAACCCCACTGTGTCCCATTCAGGAACCAGAGACATATCTTCTCCTCTTCTGAACACCACTGTGTCCCAACCAGGAACCAAAGACATATCTTCTCCTCTCTTGAACCCCACTGTGTCCCAGCCAGGAACCAGAGACATATCTTCTCCTCTCCTGAACCCTACTGTGTCCCAGCCAGGAACCATAGACATATCTTCTCCACTTCTGGACCCCACTGTGTCCCAGCCAGGAACCAGAGACATATCTTCTCCTCTCCTGAACCCCACTGTGTCCCAGCCAGGAACCAGAGACATATCTTCTTCTCTCCTGAACCCCACTGTGTCCCAGCCAGGAATGAGAGACATATCTTCTCCACTTCTGGACCCCACTGTGTCCCAGCCAGGAACCAGAGACATATCTTCTCCTCCTCTGCTGAACCCCCACTGTGATTACATTTTCTCTTACAGCTGAATTCTGGGATAAGCAGACATTGTCTAAATACAAAAGCCATGTATAGTATTCCTAAAATATTTGTGTGCTTTTGCTCTCCAGTTTTCTGCAGGTAGCCTGTAGTGGGTGGAGCTTGTTTCCCCCTCCCACAGCTCTACTTCCTGCACAGGCTATGTACAGCACAGTGATGATGGTACTGCTACAGTTTACAGTGTAATATCTGGGTCACCCCCCCCCCCATGTGAATGAGTATGGGGTCCATAGTACTCATTCACCAAAAAAGTGAATAAAAACTCAACAACAGTTTTTGACAAGTTCTTTATTAAAAAAAAAAAAAAAAAATTGTCCCCCGAAGTAGATCCATTGTCAATCACGATGAACG